CCGGCCCGGGCTGCCTGCTCGACTCTGGGGCTCCTTCACAGTGGGCCTTTGGTGCGCGGTGGGGGCCGCGGCCGGTCCTGGGGTCCGTGGTGAGGTGCGTGCGGCCTGCTCCGCGCCCCTTCCCGTGGACGCCGGGACTGGCGCCGTCGTCACCGCGCATATAAAGAGCCTGAAGGGCTTCCCGAGCCCTTTCCTTTTCCCTCCGCTTTTCTCCGCGGCTCTGTGTTCCATGTAAAGTCCGCTGACCCCGCTGGGGCCGGCTCCGCGGGTGCGCAGCAGCGCCAGGGCTGGGTTTGAAGGGCTGAGAGGGGCCGGGGGCGGAGGGGGTTTGGCTGGCGCTGGTTTGGCTGAGATGGATTTGGCCTCCGGATTGCTCTGGCAGTTTTCAAAGTGTTTCAGAGCTCTCAGTGTTTGTTGCAGTGCCAGCAGGTGCCGCTTTGCGGGGTTGTGTGAGGGTGAACGAGGTAGCCTGTGGGCTAGAATAAAGGGCACGTGAGCTATAGCAGTAGAGTAGTTTAAAAAACCAAGGATGTACTTTCTTAACTTGGTAATGCCCTTTTTTATTTAAAAGCATGTCAATCCTTTCCTGTAAATGTCTTTGTTGCCCTGGGGAATAATACTTTTCTGTCTGTGTGAGATTCTTTAAAGATTTCTGCCAAGCTTTTTTCTTGTTTGCAATTACCTTCTTAGGTACCCATAGCATTTGCCAGACCTTTCTCAGTGGAGAATGAATGTTGTTTACCTCTACTCGTGTGTGTCTCTTCTTTAGGACTCCCACCCTTGTTACATGGGGTGGTGTAGCTGGTACTGGTTTAATATGGCTCACAGACTGGAAACTGGTCCTTCAGTATGTTCCCTATGTTGGTGGCAAGTTTAAAACTGAAGACTCCCTCTAATGGTAAGTTTCGTTTGTGCACCTCTTAGTTTAAGTAGTAGAGTTGTGTTGGTGTGTCCTGTTTGTTCTGGGCACAGTCATGTTGTTGGTCCAGACCAGAACTGCTCAATGTGATTGTTCAGGGTATCTTATTTTTTTATACAGGGCCTTACAGAGTGCCAGAAGGATGAAATATTAATGTGTTTTTCAAGTGATTGTTTTGCAAGCAGTGGATTTTTCCCAATCTAACGTGGTTCTTGAGCCAAATCAAGAGTTCTGTGGTAATTTGGGACTGTTGACAGATATGTTCACTTCTAAACCTGGGTAGAATGGCTTGAAGCTCGTGACTAGTTTTGTTGCTATGCAAATTCAGACTCCTTTCTGTTCCTTGTAACTGTTATTAAAAGTAAGTTGGATGTTCAGAGTTAGTTACTATGTACCACAAATTCATTAGAAAATCGTCTTTCTCAATTTGGTTTTTTTTTCCCTTCTTTTTGCACGTGGAATGTGCTGTTCTGAACCTTCTGTAGGACTGACCATCCGTGAAGCTGGAGCAGCAATTAGGTGATACCTTCTGTTGGGCCTTTAAATGAGTATTTGTGTAGTAGACAGGCTTAAAACTTGCTGCAGATAGAAGGGAGTTAGGAAGGTTTTTGCTTTGCAGTAAAGGGTGTTGGTGGAAAAAAGTCCAGAGGAATATATACATCTTGTTTCTTCTAGTAAGAGTAACAGTTACATTTAAATGTTGCTAAATGAAAGTAAGATATTTGCTTTCAAAGCTACACAGTATATGAAAGGGAAATCAGTGAGCCTGGAAGTCAGAGAGTGAATCATTAGTATATTTATAAGTCTTTTTTTCCAGTGATATTTGTTGGAGTTCAAACAATCCACTGCATCTTGCCCATTTTCAAAATGTGTATTACACAGATCCTTGGTGTAACCAAAGGATGAAAGAAACTTTTCATGGAAGTCAGCTGCACTTGTAGCATCTCAGGTGACCATAGATGTTCAAAGACAAGTCAGTGGAAAAGCTCTCAAGTCATGTAGAGCCAATTAAGTTACCTAGTTAAGGGCATTCTTTACTTAAACCATTCCTAACCAGTGGTAGGGACATGGATACGTGCCTGAAACCAGTGTGTATGCTCTCTGTTTTGAAACAAGAGCTTTCATGTGCTGCTGTGTGTAAATCTGGAAAGAGCACGT